GGATGCGCCTGTCGCAAGACGTACCGTCATCCTCGTAGGAGGTGTGTCACATTCACTGAATTTAAAGTGACCATCTTCTAGCGATTGGCGTCGCACAAAATTGTTGGACGCCCCACAATCGACTAGAGCTCGAAGGGACAACTTATTCGTCACTTCGAGTTTCAAGGTAATGAGTGAGATCTCATTACCTAGAGCAGCAACGCACAATGTCTGTGTGTTGGGAGCAACCTTCATCAAGAGGCCTACAAATTCTCTTGACGTTGCTGGATCAGTAGGGTGCTCCGCACCTACTGATCCTGTCCGTTTTTTGACGGTCCATCCCGTTGTTGCGTCTTTGCACCAACTGCGGACCCTCGTCCCCTGCCCCTTTCTCATGGGTGGACGGTCACTACGCCCAGTGTCGCGAGACACTGGACGAGGGGCACTACACTCGTAAGCGTAGTGTCCTGTCTTTTGACATCTGTTGCATCTCTGCAACTTCTTGTAGCCTGTAGAGCGAGCCTTCTCGCTCTCTACATAACAGAGTTCCATCGGCTCTGGACCTCCGTTGTCATATCGTCTCGGTTGACGATATGATGTCGAGCTGGCGCGAGCCTGTCTCAGACTGAAGTCTTCCTGCTCCGCAATGGAAATGGCTTGTTCTAGTGAATCTAGTTCAAGCCGGAACAGGTGAGTCTTGACGGGACCATCCGCAAGACCCTGCATGAACACCGAAACCAACGTGTGTTCATCCACTGGATTGGAACTTATACAACTCGTAAGATGTCGTATATGTTGAGCGTAAGCGTGCACATCACGCTTACCCTGCTTGAGCTTCAAGAGTTCGGTTCGAGCTCTGAACTCAGCTCTAGGCGGTTCAAACGTTTGTCTGAGCCGCGACTTGAAGACTTCCAACGACCCAAACGCATATGGGTCGTGCAGCTTGAGCCCCAGTGCCCAAGTCTTGGCACGTCCTGCCAGATTTGACTGGGCAAATGCAACTTGCATATCCCCGTCGTCGATGCGACGCGCCCTTATGGCGTCATCCAATTCGACGAACCATCTCAAGAGGGAGTCTTCTTCGACCCCCTATACTTTGAGATGTCAATCTTCAAAGTCTCGGGTCGACGCGAGTGCATCGACCCGCCAGCAGCAGCCTGCTGCTGTCTCAACAGTTCAAACTGTTGAGCACCTTGTTCTCTCAACAACTCTGCTTGTTGAGAACCTTGTTGGTGAAGCAAGGCTACTTTCTCGCGTTCTGCGTCAAGTTCATTTTGAATGAACTTGGCGATAGTAGCATGTTGGGCATCTCTATTGAGAGCCTCTAGCATGACGCTAACAGCATGGATGCCCATGGTCGAACCCATTCGTTCAACCGCATCCCATTCGACATCGCTCAAATGGGAGTAGCCGTCACGCGTAGCGTGAAAGCTTTGGTCATCTTCATCATCCAACATATTCATGTTGGATGTGAACGCGGTCCTTGGACGGACTACGAAGTGCTACCAGGTGTAACGGGGCACCCTGAAGCTTGTACTGGTGACAGTACAAGCTACTTATTCTGATAACAGAATAAGGCGGTGCCTCGTAACTTCACGTACACTCGTACGTGCAGAGGAAGACGGTAAGAAGAAGCGAGTACTCGGTTAGAGTAAAAAGTAGAACTGTATTTATAATAGTTAATGTCTGCAATAAATCACTATTTATCTTCATCTAACTATGTCTAAATACAAATGTGTAAATCAGTTATCTGCTCACCACTCATTGCGTGCGTCTGTCGTGGCGCGTCTTCGTTGGTTGATATAATGGCCTATATCAACCAATTAGGAACTACTTGGAAGTGCTACAGAATATTGTCCTTATGACAATATTCTGAGAATATAACTCTTATAGTTATATTCTATTAACAATTTCTTATAAATTGTTATGTAACGATTCACCCCGTTACATCCTTGCCATAAGACGACTTTCATCTGCTAGTGGCCCTCGTGCTGGCGACTGATTGAGAATCCGTTTGCATGTTCACGAATCAAAATCAAACGATTCCGTCCGTTTTTCGATGACGTTTCGTGTTCATATGACTTCAGGAGCTCATCAGTATGCTACATGTCACTGCTCTACGTGCCCCTTGCATAATTGTGCAGGACGTCGATCCAGACAGTGATTCAGGCGACACGTCTGTCGGCTAGTGTCGACACAAGCGCTGAGCGCTACGAGGCATGTAATACGATCCTATGGATTTCGTGCTTCTGATTCAACCGCCTTAGCTTGCGCAGCTTTGTTCGACATCACTTGGTGTGTCATCGCGAACTCGCAGCAACTCGTCCCATGCAAGCCTCTGATTCTCTCTCTCGAGCTTAAGCTTCGAGCGATGGCTTGCGTTTTGCTCGGTTCAGCTGTGAGACGGCGATCCGGACACTGGTGTTTGCGATCTGATGGCTCTTTCTTATCACTGGTACATCGCAATCTGCATGTCGAACGGACGTGTTGTGGTCGTCATGGAGGCGTATCGTTCTGATCCGGTCCAGGATACGAATCAGGAACATCAAGCTCTGAGCCGGTGGGTAGTAGTGACCAGTCATTGATTGCAACGCTCATCATGAACCTCGTCGCGTACTGCCATGACATGCGAGACGGCACACGAGGCGGTCTGAGTTGTTCAGCGTAGTTGCATGACGGAGGTCGGAAGAAGCCGACGCCGAATCAGGTATCGGGCGTATGATCGCAGCCGTTTGGACCACTATTCACTTTATCTTCCTGTAATCCGCAACTCTGGAAGCAACGACAACAGCTACTACGACAGCTGTGGTATTCGTATCCTCATGACACACGTTACACGCATCAAAGACTACCGACCTCAGCCAGTGTGTCAAGAGACCAAATGTAGTCGTAAGCATAAAGTGTTCGCATCTCCTGCAAACTTGAAATCGCGTATGATTCAGTTCATCTTTCGACGTCGTAGACGCACACAACATGAGCCATCCAAGTATTGGACAGGACGAGATGACTGTGTCGCCGTTGTGGAGCCAGTCCCTGCAAGTCGGCCGCCAGCCAGCAGGAGTGTTGCAATTCCCAGCAGCTCGTCGGTATCGAGAAAGCCGACACCCGATCGAGTACCAGGACAAAGATCGACTGGTGAAGGCACGCACAGAGCTGGCAGTTGGTGTCAACGACAGACGTACTGCGCCAACTGCCAGCGTCTTTTCTTCACGTCGCTTTCCTCCTTCAGAAGCATAGCAGGTGCATTCTGCTCGCTGGACTGCAAGACAAATCTCGAGTACAAGCACCTGCTCCGGGACGTGACGTACACGCAGACATGGGAGAGCAGCAGACGTTGTGACATCGGACGGAGAAGGCTACACTAGACTTGACCGTTGGTAGGATGGAGGAGTAAGACAAAGAGCATCGCTATTTATCCAGACGAATGACAACTTGAAGTGAATCGTTTTGATGGCTGTGATTGGCCAGGTTGATCATGGAGGCATCAAGCATGACCACGGTGGTCCCATCCGCCTTGAGGCAGTATCCAGGTGAACTATCAGACCAACTTGCGAGGTCGGAATGTCGATATAACGTTGCATGACCACACGAAAAATCAACGTTGAAATGCACGTCACTGCTGTACACTCCGCCGGTATGCAGTCCACTGGGTGAGCACAAGGCGGTCATCGTCAATGCACCGGCCGTGATACCACTGTAAACGGATGTGAGCTAAAGAGTGCTGTGTCTGCATCAGAGAGACCGTGTGCGTGTTTGACGATGACAGATACTGGGTCTTAGATTGGCATTTACGTGGTAGCTTGTCGGTCGGATCAGCGCTCTATTGTCTTGCGTACAAGTGACAATAGATTGGATCAAATCCGATGTACTGTCTTGTGCGCTGAAAATCGACACCTCTTTTGTCGGAGCCTGTTGCCTCGACATCACCACCATCGATCGTGAGAATCAATGGCGCAGAAGCTTGGCAACGCGTAAGATGATGCAATACCCTTTGACATCCTTGCCATAAGACGACTTTCATCTGCTAGTGGCCCTCGTGCTGGCGACTGATTGAGAATCCGTTTGCATGTTCACGAATCAAAATCAAACGATTCCGTCCGTATTTCGATGACGTTTCGTGTTCATATGACTTCAGGAGCTCATCAGTATGCTACATGTCACTGCTCTACGTGCCCCTTGCATAATTGTGCAGGACGTCGATCCAGACAGTGATTCAGGCGACACGTCTGTCGGCTAGTGTCGACACAAGCGCTGAGCGCTACGAGGCATGTAATACGATCCTATGGATTTCGTGCTTCTGATTCAACCGCCTTAGCTTGCGCAGCTTTGTTCGACATCACTTGGTGTGTCATCGCGAACTCGCAGCAACTCGTCCCATGCAAGCCTCTGATTCTCTCTCTCGAGCTTAAGCTTCGAGCGATGGCTTGCGTTTTGCTCGGTTCAGCTGTGAGACGGCGATCCGGACACTGGTGTTTGCGATCTGATGGCTCTTTCTTATCACTGGTACATCGCAATCTGCATGTCGAACGGACGTGTTGTGGTCGTCATGGAGGCGTATCGTTCTGATCCGGTCCAGGATACGAATCAGGAACATCAAGCTCTGAGCCGGTGGGTAGTAGTGACCAGTCATTGATTGCAACGCTCATCATGAACCTCGTCGCGTACTGCCATGACATGCGAGACGGCACACGAGGCGGTCTGAGTTGTTCAGCGTAGTTGCATGACGGAGGTCGGAAGAAGCCGACGCCGAATCAGGTATCGGGCGTATGATCGCAGCCGTTTGGACCACTATTCACTTTATCTTCCTGTAATCCGCAACTCTGGAAGCAACGACAACAGCTACTACGACAGCTGTGGTATTCGTATCCTCATGACACACGTTACACGCATCAAAGACTACCGACCTCAGCCAGTGTGTCAAGAGACCAAATGTAGTCGTAAGCATAAAGTGTTCGCATCTCCTGCAAACTTGAAATCGCGTATGATTCAGTTCATCTTTCGACGTCGTAGACGCACACAACATGAGCCATCCAAGTATTGGACAGGACGAGATGACTGTGTCGCCGTTGTGGAGCCAGTCCCTGCAAGTCGGCCGCCAGCCAGCAGGAGTGTTGCAATTCCCAGCAGCTCGTCGGTATCGAGAAAGCCGACACCCGATCGAGTACCAGGACAAAGATCGACTGGTGAAGGCACGCACAGAGCTGGCAGTTGGTGTCAACGACAGACGTACTGCGCCAACTGCCAGCGTCTTTTCTTCACGTCGCTTTCCTCCTTCAGAAGCATAGCAGGTGCATTCTGCTCGCTGGACTGCAAGACAAATCTCGAGTACAAGCACCTGCTCCGGGACGTGACGTACACGCAGACATGGGAGAGCAGCAGACGTTGTGACATCGGACGGAGAAGGCTACACTAGACTTGACCGTTGGTAGGATGGAGGAGTAAGACAAAGAGCATCGCTATTTATCCAGACGAATGACAACTTGAAGTGAATCGTTTTGATGGCTGTGATTGGCCAGGTTGATCATGGAGGCATCAAGCATGACCACGGTGGTCCCATCCGCCTTGAGGCAGTATCCAGGTGAACTATCAGACCAACTTGCGAGGTCGGAATGTCGATATAACGTTGCATGACCACACGAAAAATCAACGTTGAAATGCACGTCACTGCTGTACACTCCGCCGGTATGCAGTCCACTGGGTGAGCACAAGGCGGTCATCGTCAATGCACCGGCCGTGATACCACTGTAAACGGATGTGAGCTAAAGAGTGCTGTGTCTGCATCAGAGAGACCGTGTGCGTGTTTGACGATGACAGATACTGGGTCTTAGATTGGCATTTACGTGGTAGCTTGTCGGTCGGATCAGCGCTCTATTGTCTTGCGTACAAGTGACAATAGATTGGATCAAATCCGATGTACTGTCTTGTGCGCTGAAAATCGACACCTCTTTTGTCGGAGCCTGTTGCCTCGACATCACCACCATCGATCGTGAGAATCAATGGCGCAGAAGCTTGGCAACGCGCAAGATGGTACGATACCCTTTGACATCCTTGCCATAAGACGACTTTCATCTGCTAGTGGTCTTCGAGCATGCGACTGATTGAGAATCCGTTCGCATGTTCACGAATCAAAATCAAACGATTCCGTCCGTATTTCGATGACGTTTCGTGTTCATATGACTTCAGGAGTTCATCAGTATACTACATGTCACTGCTCGACGTGCACCTTGCATAACCGTGCAGGACGCCGATCCAGACAGCGATGCAGGTGATACGTCTGTCGGCTAGTGTCGACACAAGCGCTGAGCGCTACGAGGCATGTAATACGATCCTATGGATTTCGTGCTTCTGATTCAACCGCCTTAGCTTGCGCAGCTTTGTTCGACATCACTTGGTGTGTCATCGCGAACTCGCAGCAACTCGTCCCATGCAAGCCTCTGATTCTCTCTCTCGAGCTTAAGCTTCGAGCGATGGCTTGCGTTTTTGCTCGGTTCAGCTGCGAGACGGCGATCCGAAAACTGGTGTTTGCGATCTGATGGCCCCTCCTCGTCACTCGTACATCGCAATCTGCATGTCGAACGGACGTGTTGTGGTCGTCATGGAGGCGTATCGTTCTGATCCGGTCCAGGATACGTATCAGGAACATCAAGCTCTGAGCCAGTGGGCATTGAATGACCAGTCATTGATTGCAACGCTTATCATGAACCTCGTCGCGTAGTGCCATGACATGCGAGACGGCACACGAGGCGGTCTGAGTTGTTCAGCGTAGTTGCATGACGGAGGTCAGAAGAAGCCGACGCCGAATCAGGTATCGGGTGTATGATCGCAGCCGTTTGGACCACTTTTCACTTTACCTTCGCGTAGTCAGCAACTCCGGAAGCAACGACAACAGCTACTACGACAGCTGTGGTATTCGTATCCTCATGACACACGTTACACGCATCCAAGACTACCGACCTCAGCCAGTTTGTCAAGAGACCAGATGTCGTCGCAAGGATGAAGTGTTTGCATCTCCTGCGAACTTGAAATCGCGTATGATTCAGTTCATCTTTCGACGTCGTAGACGCACACAACATGAGCCATCCAAGTATTGGTCAGGACGAGATGATTGCATCGCTGTTGTGGAGCCAGTCCCTGCAAGTCGGCCACCAGTCAGCACGAGTATTGCAATTCCTAGCAGCTCGTCGGTATCGAGAAAGCTGACATCGGATCGAGTACCAAGACAAAGATCGGCTGATGAAGGCACGCACAGAACTGGCAGTTGGCGCCAACGACAGACGTACTGCGCCAACTGTCAGCGTCTTTTCTTCACGTCGCTGTCCTCCCTCAGAAGCATAGCAGGTGCATTCTGCTCGCTGGACTGCAAGACAAATCTCGAGTACATGCGCCAGCTCCAGGACGTGACGTACACGCAGACATGGGAGAGCAGCACAATCAGCAGCGGATTGGAAGACGCGACATGTGCAACAAAAGCGAACACCTCGCAGGTGATTATCGGTGTTGATGATCTGGACCGATTTGGACCTCGTGCGTCGTGCATCGGTAGTCAGATAGACGTTGTGACATCGGATGGAGAAGGCTACACTGGATTTGACCGTTGGTAGGATGGAGGAGTAAGACAAAGAGCATCGCTATTTATCCAGGCGAATGATAACTTGAGGTGAGTCGTTTTGATGGCTGTGATAGGCCAGGTTGAACATGGAGGCGTTAAGCATGACCACAGTGGTCCCATCTACCGTCCTTGACGAAGTATCCAGGTGAACTATCAGACCAACTTGCGAGGTCGGAATGTCGATATAACGCTGCATGACCACACGAAGAATCAACGTTGAAATGCATGTCACTGCTGTAATTTCGCAAACATGCAGTGCTCCACTTTTTCAGGCCATGCATGACATCACGAGGTCCATCAAGCCAGACGTACGTTATCTTACGTACTCGAATCTGGCTGTGGGCCTATTCATAATCATCTCAAGTACTAGTGTCTTAAATAATTATGTTGTGATACGCTCTCTTTGTGTGATTTACATTTTGTGCTTGCGTCTTTAGAACACGTTAAACCTCGAGCCCAATCTCGCATTTTGAGGGCGCCTGCATATATCAGCTTGCGTAACGGGATCACACGCGGTTAATCGAACCGGTTACGTAGTTTGTCCACACCAAGTAAAGATCGGTGGATTTGAGTGGTACAGTCTTGGTGCCACGTTCTTACGGTAATACCGCACCTTATTGGGTAAGGATAAGGAATAAGACTTCTGTCATAAGATCGTAATGTAACATTCAGCCAGGCAAGGTTTTTGGGTTTTATTAGCGTAGTTTGGGAACAAATAAAATTCAGTTCCCCCTTTGAACTATTGGACGCTACTGTCTAGTCAAGGCATAGCGTGTTGTTACAGTGTTAGCCTTGTCAAGGAGCTTACTCTTGTTTAACTAGTAGTGACTAGTTAGTGTGTAATTCTGTAAATCTCAATCCTTTTGAAACCAGGATTGTTAAGCTTGTTCCCTTGAACGACTATGCGTCGTTCTTCGTTTGTTAAAACTAAGGGACTTTTTGAGACTAAGACTTCCTCTGCTAAGGAGTGCTAAGTAGCTCCGCTACAGCATGTATGCATTAAGCGTACTTTATCAAGTCTCTACGCTGAAGGATTCGACTCACAGGACTGCGGAACGCTGTAAACCTACTTCAAACGTCTTTGATTTTATACTCTACCTAGGAGAAGTTTAAATGCACCTGATAATTTTGAAAACGTATAAACGCAATGTGCCGGAATCTTACTTTGCAAATTCCTATCTTAAATTAGGATGAAAACCATTACCCTTCGTCGTCTAAATGCATAAAAGAAGTACAGACTTGTCCAAGGAGCCCCAGCGTTTGCTTTTGCAGTCAATAACCGTCTTGCAACAGCCATTAATATGTAATATAATTGTTTCTTACGTAGCGGGGAGAGCCTGTAACATGTTAGCTTTCACACTAGTTAATTAGAATCTTATCATAAAGGTTAATGATGTTCGTGAATATTACCATAAGGCGTAATATTCCGAGGCATTAACCGATTGTACGATACGGGCCATCACCTTAGCCAAAAGTAGCGGTCCAGTAAACGATGGACGCGCGCGATGAGAGGTGAGCGAGACTGTAGCATACGTTGTTTAGGTGCATATAATTACGTTAGGATTTAATATAACTGCATGTATTTATGACTAAATCATTTTAAAGGCTGTATTACTTTCGACTCCTATCGAACGCTTGGTAAACATGCCAGCCTTCCCCGGCACGTACAGTGTACGTGAAGTGACGGGCAGCACTACCTACACTGTTTACAGTGTAGGTGCACTAGTGCTGAAGCAGTACTAGTGACTTGTGTTCCGTAATACTCAATAGCACTGTGTATTTCGTATAAGAACAGCAACCCTACATCCAACATGAACACGCTTGATGATGTCGGTAGAGGCTTTCACACCACGCATGAAAGCTTCTCCTGTTTGAGTAACATCGAATATTGCGGTCGAACGAATGGATTCGACCGTGGGCGAACATGCCGTCTCTGACATGCTGCCCGCATTGGACTGAGGTAGGCAGCACGCCGCCGTCGCCAAGTTTATACAACATGAATTTGACGAGTAACGGGAGAAAGTAACTTTGCTTCATTAGCAGTGTTCATAACAGGCAGAGCTGTTAAGAAAATAGATGCTCAGCACCTTAAACTTTTAAAACAATAGCAGGCATTTACTGCTGTACCCGGGTCGTCGCACGCGCATTGACTCAAAACTTTGAACAGGGACATCTCAAAGGAAAGAGAGGTCGAGGAAGACTACCTGCTCAGATGATTGGTCGAGTTGGACGACGCCATAAGGGCTCTTCACATCGTCGATGAGCAAATTAAAGTCGCATTTGATCATTCAAACCTGGCGGACTGTGCCAATACCTGGGCATTAGGGCTTAAGCAGCACGACCCATATGTGTTTATGTCATGGAGGCCTTTAAGACTCGGCTTGGTTAAACACTTAAACCGCCAAGAGCTGAGTTCAGGGCTCGATCAGAGCTCCTGAACCTCAAGCTGGGCAAGCGTGATTAGCACACTTACGCCCTACTCAATTAACTCCTGGCGAATTGTATCAGGACCAGTTTATAAAAAACATTAATGACTGTTTTCATGCAGGGTCTTACGAATGGTCCCTTCAAGACTCACCTGTTTTGGTTGGATCTGAACGGCTATAAGAAGCGATGTCAGATGCTGATGAGGAAGACTTTATCTTGAGACCGGCTCATGCTATTTGTCCTCATACCTGCCCCGAAGACGACAGTACATAACATATGGACCTCTTTTATAATAAAACTGATAGGCCTTGAACTTTAGCCATGACGCGATCGCAGAAGTGCAATCACAGTCAGAAGTTAGGAAAGCAGGCTTACGATTGTAGCGTCTGACGCACACTATTTGAAACAATAAGCAAACTGTTTGACCATTCGTCAAAAAGACCAACGATTGCGGGTCCAACTTTGATATAAAATTGCAACAACGAAGCAGACCGCAAAAAGGCTAAGATCAGTAGGAACGGAGCGACCTCCTGACCCAAAACTCTTAAGAAAATTTGCAAACCTCCTGACGAAAGTTTAATAAAACTCACAATCACTGTGTTTCTCTTCACTTGTTGATGACCCCCTTCATATCCTTGAAGTTAAAAGTGACAGAAAAATTGTCACTTTGTGCCTAGTAGACCTAAGGGCATCGAACAACTTTGTTCGTCGCCAGTCGCTAGAGGATCGTGGGTTAACTTTTGATAAGCGCGATACCTCTTTAATGAGAAGTTCGGTGCGCCTAGGGAAAAGCACATCGACAACTTTGATATAACGTATCTAGGGACTATACTGCACGCTTGAAGATTCGCAGTACGATAATTTCATCGCACTGGATTTATGGTTACAAATTTGATGTCAACCTAAGTTTTTCTGGCTCAGAACGTACAAGCCAAGGGCAATCTGGAAGCTTCGAGCTGAAAATATGCCTGCATCGTGTTCATTATAATGGCCATCTGATAGATGTTTGTAGCTCCCACAAGCGTGCAGATGTGCTGTGAGTGAGTACGATGGTCTAAATCGTGGTAAGGTCGTAAGTACGACTATACGAGATTACAATGCAATTACTAATTTAACTGTAAAGAAAGCTGCGTCAAGCTGTGCGGATGCAATGACATCATTGAAGGTCCGCCACTCGAACAAGTCGAGTGTATCGGGACATGGGTGAATGCCTAGCGAGCAATATCCAAGTTAAAATAAACTAGTTGACCACATAAGGCAACGTGGTGATCCTAAATCATCTGGAGAGTCGATCGTAGAGTACTTAATTGTGGTAGAGCAAGCACAGAAAGAAGGCGTCGAGGGGACACGTCCCCACGTAACTAAAGAAGAATCTCCTCAAGCAGTTACTGATGAGGTAGCGAGAACTCATCAACCTGAAGAAAAAAGTCTCCAGTAGCCTGTGGAAAAGGGTTTCCTGGAAGAGATTAAGATAATGTAAACCTTTATAAATGACGGGTCAACCGTAGACTTATATTCACTCGGTCTGGTTACGCCCCCGAAGTTAGCTTCGGAGATGGTCAAGTGCTACGCTAGAATCTAGAAGATTCTTGCGAGATCTGTATAGTGACAAGATCAAGCAGATCCGCGTACTCGTAACAGAGGACGAGTACGTCGCCGACATTCGGTCGGCACAAGTGTTTACTGATAACGAACGGGTTCTCAGTAGCTCATCAATAGACGGAGTGTACTCGATGAGAAAACTCAAATTGAGCGATACATGTTTAATTCTTGGTAGTCTTTGAAGGCAAATCCTTCATACTAGGTTCTGATTGAATTCGAGGACATGTTCTATTAATCTGTGCCATGCTTGCTGTCTAAGGACCGTGGAACTCAGCGTGAAATCGAACTGGAACCCGGTTCGAAGTACTGTGTCGTGTTGCAGTGACCACCGCCTCGAAAACAAGTTCTAGCAATCGACAAGTTCTTTGCCGATCGCGTTGCAGCGAGCCATGTGAGTACTTAGTTTCCACTGACATCTACCTACCTTTATTGGGTGTAAGGCTACAGGAAAATGGCGAATAGTGCACGCATTCAGTGAATTACTTGCAGCAACGATAACGGCTCAAATACCGATACAGAGGAAGGGCGTGATCTTTTATAATATGATAAAAGGTACCATTGTCTCGTCAGTGGATCTGGTGGATGGGTTCTATTAGGTAAATATGCACAAACGAGACATACCTTACATAGCAGTGAGCCCATCCCGTGGTATGATCTGGGAGTGGCTAGTGATGCCACAGTGACCGAGTAACGCCCTTACAACGTAAAACAGATGTTTTAACGATCTTTTGAGACCGGTGCGACATTTCGCACCGGTCACACGGGCATGTATTTACGGACGTAGAGGTTCAAAAGAACACATGTTCGTCAGGTTCTCACATTTATGCGGAAGCATAAGCCATACACAACCTCAAGAACTGTATATTCGCTCGTAGCGAAATGTCTGTTCTTGGGTGCGTCGTGGGTAAATAAAGGCGTATGCCCTAATACGTAAAAGATTACGGAGATCACTAACTGACATGT